AGGAGCAGAGAAGCTGACGTTTCGGGCCTAGACCCTTCATCAGAAAAGCTTTTCTGATGAAGGGTCTAGGCCCGAAACGTCAGCCTCTCTGCTCCTATGATGCTGCTTGGCCTGCTGTGTTCATCCAGCCCTGCACCTTTTAAAGAGTTACTGTTTTGAGGATAAATCACATAAAATGTGGAAGTTCCCGTCAAACCAAATTATTTCTAAGATTTCCATTTTTGAGAACTTCAACAGCACAGCCTGCAGAGAGGTGATGAATCAATGAGAACACCTTCACAATTTCCGTGTTCAGTTACACATATGTGTGCACCAGAAGTTGCTGTCAGTTTCACAGAATAATGATGGGTGAACACTGACAGTTTCATGACGTTATAAAATTGACTACACCTCACAAGTACTTTAATCACTGAAAAGCGCTTTAGGACTTTGAGGTCCTGGAAGGCACTATATAAATGTAAGCCTGCTTCTCTTTCTTTTTTGTTACTTCCTTCACCATTACAGCTGGAAAATCTGGAACTATATACAAGAAACAGGGCTTCAAGGTCCCTCTAATAATGTAGTGGTTAGTTGACTTGCTGAGCTGGTTCGGTTTTTTTCCACAGACGTTTCATTACCCTGCTGGGTAACATCATCAATGCAGCCTCCGATGAAGCCGAACGCTGCGCTGATGATGTTACCCAGCACGGTAATGAAACATCTGCGGAAAAACAACAAACCAGCTTAGCGAGCTAACCAACCACAACATTCACAACACGGGCTACAATTCTACTCTAAAACCTTATATAAGTTCTAATAAGTTGAGAAAAGAACTGTTGAGGTCCATCTACATGAACATCTAAATTCATCACCTGTTGCAGCCTTTCCCACAATATATAGAAAACACAGAGACATGTAGAAAAAATAAATCTTGCATCTGTTTGTTTTGGGACAGCAGTAATGTAAAGGAACCTTGTTACTCATTTTAAACTCGTTGATACATGCAGAGCAAATGACATTGTTTATTTTTGTCTCAGATATTCATTGTTGACAATGTGACTTGGTTAATACAGATTTGTTTTAGAATTTGTTAGAAATGTATGATTGTTCATTCTTCCACATCCGTGTTAGATATTATCTCATTCTGAACTCTGGTGACAAATCAGAGATTGACATTACATTTGAAAGTTTGATGTTTAGAATTCCCTTTTATCTTCTGTCGCTTATCATTTAATTAAACCTGTCTACTGACAGTTCTCTAATTGGTTTTCTGTGGCTGTGAATCTGAGAGGGCTGCATGAATCATAAACAGGTTTATATCATGATGTGTAGGGAGTGAATTTCATGCCCATGTACTTGTGTTAAATAGAATGAAACAAAAAAAGCCTTTTGCTGTTGATTTACACAATTCATCCAGGCTCAATGATTCTGTGAGGTGATCGTATCAGGCTTTATACTCAACAAAAAAGTTCAACCATTCTAAAGTTTCAATGGTACAAAAGATACATTTATTATTGAGATTTGGAATTGATCCCATCATGCCCAAAATGACTCCACTGTCTGGTTTCAAATTACTATTGTCCCGCTCGCCTTAGGGTCAAGTGCCAGACTGCTGACCAATCAGTTATAGCTACCTGTGTCCTGGGTAGAAATTCAGGATCAGCGGTGACTCTGCCAAGTATTTCACACAATACTATACCAAAGGAGAAAACATCAACCTGAAAGATATGTAACCATTAAGCACAATTGTCAGTTCAATGCCTGATTTGATGCCAGACAATAACATACTTTAAAAGCAATAACCATTTGTAGATAAATCAGACCCGGGCATTTATAGCAGTCAACAATATATCTCCACATACCATAAATCACCCGAAACCATTGGATTTATAGGTCGAAGAAATCTTGGTAAAACTAAAACATAATTCAGAGATTTTACATTAGGAACAGCTATTGTTTTATAGACTCTCTGAATAAGTGCATTCCCTTCTAAATGGTGTAATCCTACAGCTCATTCTAAAATGAAACCTTCTCGGAGTTCCAATAATATTTTTCCATTTTAGTACTTGTGGTAAGAGTTACATAACTAGAATGTGATAGAAATGGATGTGCATATCTGCTGTTTCTAAATGCCAGGTGAATTAGGAATTGATGACATTAGTAGCGTGTATCAACTCTGTACTTGAAAATAGCTACCAACCTGAAGAAAACAAATTCGAAGATTCTCTTGCTGTACACTTTATATTAGGCTTCTGTCTTCCTAATGTTAAAGTAATTATCAACCCCTTTATGACCTGCAGTCGATGAGATAAATTTCAACTATGAATTGGAGAGAAGCAAATTCTGAGCCATCAGATCATTGTGAATCAGAATTGGAATAAAATCTTTAAGAAAACATCCCTTGAACCCTATTCTACCATTCAATTAAATGAAATCATGGATGATTTGTACCTCAGTATTTGCTTCCATTCAGTATCCTTAATAGATTTACCGAACAAAAATTACTCATCTCAGCCACAGGACATTGCCACAGAAGTTCCTGTGGTTAATGACCTGGGCCCATCTTCAGCTGTTTCATCATTGGCCTTCGCTTCATCATAAGGTCAGAAGTGGGGATGTTCATTGATAATGACACAACTTCAGTGTCATTCACAATGCTTCAGATACGGAAATAAGATATAAAAGCAGTCATATCCATTTGCACTAAGGCTGAGACAACATCCAGGCTTGAGGGCTTATAAGTGCTGAGTACCAGTTGTGCCACCCAAGTGTCAGGGAATGACCATATTCAACAAGACAGAATCGAACCATCTACCCTTGACATTCAATGGCAATACTATCACTGAATCAACTTATGCTATCAGCATACTGGGAGTTTACCATTGACCAGAAACTTAACCGGACTAGCAATATAAATACTGTGGCTACATGAATAGGTCAGAGGCTGGGAATTCTACTGCAAGTAACTCAGCTCCTGACTCCCCAAAGTCTGCCCACCATCTCCAAGGTTCAAGTCATGAGAGTGATAGAAAGCCAACACTTGCGTGGATAAGGGCAGCTCCTACAACTCAAGAGGTTTGACACCATTCAAGACAAGACAACCCACTTGATAAGAATCCTCCCCATCCAGTACTTTAAAGATTCACTCCCTTCATCACAATGCACACAGGCAGCAGTGTGTACCCTCGACAGGATGTGATGTAGCAACTCATCAAGGTTCTTTTGATAACACTTTCCAAACTCACAACCTCTATCACCTAAAATGACAAAGTCAGAAGTCACATGACACCAGGTTATAGTCTATCAGGTTTATTTGAAATCACAAGCTTTTGGAGCACTGCTCAGGTGAAGTCAATGGCTTAATTAGTTTGTACAGTTTTGGATTACTCGTTACTTTGGTTAGATCCTCATCATGTGACTCTTATATCTATCATGTTATTCCAGCCACTTGGTTCGTCTCGAGCACCATCTTATTTTTTGAGTCTTTTTATAATTATCTCTGTGCCTTAATTAATCAGTTCATAGGTCATCCCTTCACTTGTTATTCAGCTGTTGACACTTTACTCACACCGTCTGACATTTTTGATCACCTGCAAAGATTTGTTATTCAGCCTGTCGACATTCCACTCACACCATTTGTACTATCTTTTGACACTCTTAGTTACCTGGAATTAGGTTGCAATTATCTCTCTGCCTATAAATTCTGTGCCTGTGTGCTTCCCTCCACTCCACCTGACAAAAAAAGACTTTACCTGACGAAGGGGCAGTGCTCAGAAGGCTTGCCACCAATGCGATCATCTCTCCATTATGGCTTCCTCATGTTCAACTCTGTCGGCCGTAAGTACATGAATAGGAAAGATTTGGAGGGATATGGGCCAGTAGCAGGCAGATGGGACGAGTTTAGTTTGGGATTATGTTCGGCATGGACTGGTTGGACTGAAGGGTCTGTTTCCGTGCTGTATGACTCTCTGACTCTATGAATGTTTTGAACATCTAAATGCTATCCCAAGTCTGTTTTCTATACTTTCAGTTTCAGTCTGAAGGAGGATTGAAATCTGCTGGTTTGCCTGTGAGCTCCACAATGAATGGCTAAATTTCCTTGGTGTGTGAATCTTAACACAATGTATCATTGTTAAAATCCTTGCTTTGTGCTACACATGGCATAATTAGCAACCTGTTACAAATAAAATTAACAGCTGTAGTCAAATGCTGTGGACAGGAATATGCAAGAATACATTAAGTTGTATTGCACACAAATGGAATTAAAGCTCCCAGTGGGAAACTATGGCAGTGTTGATAAAATCTTAATTAAGTCCTTCATAGCCACAATGAAACATGCTCTGTATTAAATATGTAATGAGATTATATTCAATAGCAAAAAGGTTTGTCACCAAAATTGGCCACAATGAAGGGAAACTTTGAAATAAGTGACCCATAACGTTTAATCTTTGTTGAAAACCGGCCCAGAAACTCATCGAATAAGGAGCTACTCATTAATGATTTACATTTTTTTTGTTGGCTTAGAATATATTCAATAGATCCCTTACATGCTCAAATGTTATAAGCGACTGCATCACTAGCCCATGAATGTTGGCAGCTTGTGGCATCAATAGCAATTCAAAACAATTATTTTTATCATTCTTTTGGGATGTAGGGCTTACTGGGAGTGCTGGTTTTATAGTTGAGAAGTACAATCCACTTCTTGAACCACTGTATCCATGTGGCAAAGGTGCTCCCTCTGTATTAGGCCAGGGAATTTCCTCAATTTTGATCCTATGATGGCAGCTTATGTCCAGTACAGGATGGCATGTGACTTGAATGTGATGATGTTCTTCTAGGTGCAAGAGGTCATGCGTTTGGGTGCTGATTACCATGGAAGCCATGGCAAGTTGCTGCAATACTTTCTGTAGATCATACACACTGCAGCTACGCTGTTCCACATTGATATGAAGGAATATGAAGTTTAAGGTGCTAGATGGGCTAACAATCAGGTCGACTGCTTCATGCTTTTATTCAATATTGAAAATACATCATTCTATGCAGCAGAAATGCTCTCCCTGAACAATCATTCACCTCCTAGGGCAGATCACTGCAACAAAGCCAGTGAAATAAACAGCTCAATATTCATCAGTTTCAATTTACAAACTGCCTGTGGAGTTGGCAACTCATAAAACAGATCATAATAAGGTCTGATGCCGAATTTCCAGGCCAGCTTTAGGTCTTTTAGTCAACCATGTGACAAGTCTTGGCCTACAATTGAGCAAAGCTTCATCTCCAATGCATTCAGTCCCAAAAGGACCATTGATTACACTCAACAAGGGTATGGTAGAACATCATGGTATTTCTGTACTTATGTCCTTTTTAAGGTTTTATTTCGAATACCTTTTAAAATCAAACAAATCTTTACCCTGTTACAGTGTGAAAAAGAATGAACAAAAAGAATACTTCCATTGTCCAATTGTAGAACAGAAGTGAAATCAGTCACACTTTACCTTCCTGTCATAAGGTTCGCCTCGCAACATTTCAGGTGCCATCCAGAAAGCTGAGCCAACCAAGGACAGCTTCCGTTCAAGATCCTTCGTAGGCAACTCAACGACCTCCCGGGCTAGCCCAAAGTCTGTAACCAAAGCCTCTCTCCCACGTGCCGTTATTCTAATCAAGCAGTTCTGGCATAAATTAAAATACATCAACATTAATATGTGAGGCAACTATGAGAATTTCTATGAATTACTCTGAGAAGAGTTTTTTAAAAGCGCTTTACTGAAATTGAAAACAAATAATCTTTGCAAAAACTATACACAATGAAACATTCACAATTCAATCCAACTGTTAAATTTCAACTGTTAAATTGGAATGAAATGTGAATGTTATAATGAGGTAAATCAATGGTTTCCAAGCTTGTAAATCAGCAAAGAACCGCTTAAGCCATACAAATAAAATTTGTAATTAACCTATTTTTCTAAACAACTTGTCCAGAGATGTTATTTCACAAAGCTGGAGGAGGTGGGACTTGAACTCTGGCCTCCTGGTCCAGGGGTAGGGGCACTGCCACAGCACCACAAGATGGCCAGCCTTAAGAGACACAAATACAAAATCAGGAAACCGCAACTTTGTAAATAAAACACGAACATCCACCAACAGCACTGAAGAAAACTAATGGCCTGAAATAGTAATCACTGTCGGAAGGTCAATCCACTCTGCCCAATGTCTGAGCTCTGTACTTCTGGCCCTGGAATGCTGCAGAAATGTGGAGCATACCTGAAATCCAACAGTTTCCTCATACTGTAAGATAATCAGAGTTAGTCAAGCATAAGAAAATATTGCAGAAAATACGGAGGCATGGGATTGAGGGTGATTTAGCGGTTTGGATCAGAAATTGGCTAGCTGTAAGAAGACAGAGGGTGGTGGTTGATGGGAAATGTTCATCCTGGAGTTCAGTTACTAGTGGTGTACCTCAAGGATCTGTTTTGGGGCCACTGCTGTTTGTCATTTTTATAAATGACCTGGATGAGGGCGTAGAAGGATGGGTTAGTAAATTTGCGGATGACACCAAAGTCGGTGGAGTTGTGGATAGTGCAGAAGGATGTTGTAGGTTACAGAGGGACATAGATAAGCTGCAGAGCTGGGCTGAGAGGTGGCAAATGGAGTTTAATGCGCAAAAGTGTGAGGTGATTCACTTTGAAAGGAGTAACAGGAATACAGAGTACTGGGCTAATGGTAAGATTCTTGGTAGTGTGGATGAGCAGAAAGATCTCGGTGTCCATGTGCATAGATCACTGAAAGTTGCCACCCAGGTTGATAGCGTTGTTAAGAAGGCGTACAGTATGTTAGCTTTTATTGGTAGAGGGATTGAGTTTCGGAGCCATGAGGTCATGTTGCAGCTGTACAAAACTCTGGTGCGGCCGCACTTGGAGTATTGCGTACAGTTCTGGTCACCGCATTTATAGGAAGGATGTGGAAGCATTGGAAAGGGTACAGAGGAGATTTACCAGGATGTTGCCTGGTATGGAGGGAAGGTCTTATGAGGAAAGGCTGAGGGACTTGAGGCTGTTTTCGTTAGAGAGAAGAAGGTTAAGAGGTGACTTAATAGAGACATACAAGATGATCAGAGGATTAGATAGGGTGGACAGTGGGAGCCTTTTTCCTCGGATGGTGATGGCTAGCA